TGCTCCCACCCAGCCGCCGCTCCCATCCAGCCGCAGAAGATAGCAGCCGACGACGCCGAGAATTTCCATCACGCTGCTGCTCCCATCCCCCCTCCGTTTCCATCCTTCCGCCGCTCCCCCAACCGTAGAAGATAGCCGCCGATGACGCTGAGAATTTCCATCACGCTGCTGCTCCCATCCCCCACCATTTCTGTCCTACCACCGCTCCCACCCAGCCGCCGCTCCCATCATGTCGTCGCCAAGACTGTTCCTCTACTGTGTGAGAAAGGTAAAATCATTGTTCTTATCTTGCGTATAAAGCTTACGTTAAAAATATATATTTTGTCTTCCTAAATTTTAGGTGTATTTTTTAAATATATAAATGTGGGGCCTATACATGAGCGTGTTGTTAATAACCAAAATTAAGGAGTATATGTGTTTAACTCCAACAAACTTTCTATATTTAAGTAAATTAAAATCTAAATAAAATCTATAGGTATGATTAAAGTTAGAGGTGGAATAACTCGACGATCGAGTAAACGATTAAAGGTTGGTGGAATAGCAGGGCGTCGAAGAAAAACCTGCACAATCACCTTGGATAGTGAAGAAGTATAGATGCAATAGTTTATATATGAGTTATTTGTTTTTTAAAAAATCCTTCCATAGATGTCTTTATCTTTATATATAAAGATTGAATCATCAATGACCGAGGTAGAGACTCCAATGAATACTGTAGAATGTGATGATGTCCAGGGAAAGAAAGGTAAGAAATTGAATGAGACCAGCAAAAAGAGGGATGGAGGAAACTTGGCAGGAGGTTAAACAAAACAGATTAAAGTTGACCCTAAAAGGAATTTGGGTTGTTCAGAATGCACGAAGAAGGTAAGAACGTTGCTGCTGAATAGTAATATTTTAAAATTAGATTCACTAACTTAATTCTAATTTTATGTTTTAGGGAAAAGGAAAAAGTATCAAGATAGTTGAAGAAGAGCACGTTTGTAATGAGGTAGTTATTGGGATATACATGTACTTACTATAGCTGTCTATAAGTCAATAGATATATTGACGTTTTAATTTGGTTTATGAATTGATATATACATCTATTTACTTTCATATTTTACTAATTGCTGAATTATTAGTACATATATATATAGACGTTTTAATTTATTGGGATATACATTTACTAGTTTATTTATTTATGATAATTTAGTTGTACAAYAGTAAATAGATGTATTCACTTAYGTACTTGRTTGTTTCTTGAATTGATATATACATCTATCAACTTTCATGTACATACATATATGGACGTTTTAATTTTGATGATTGAGTTGCGATATGTACGTAACGATCTGCACGTGTATTGTATTCTAATATTGGTTTATCATCAATTGGTATATACATTTATTGATCTTATAATTTTGATAATTCTTCTAAGAATGATACAAAAACTGATGAAGAAAATGAAAGGGTGAATAATGAATCTATCAATGAAGATAAGGTAAATAATTAACTTCTAAAGAAGTTTCAGAGACAGAATCTGATGAGGATGCGCGTCCAAAGAAGGCTACAAATTTAAGAAGAAATGTAGAACATAAAAAGGTAAAGAATTTTTCCGTTAAAATCTATTTTTGATAATACTATGTACTAACTTCAATGGTTTAGGATAATGTTAAGAAAGAGGTTATAAGGAAGGTCAAGGCCAGAACAAGCAAACAAAAGGACAAAGATGTTTTTGGTTCAGCAGATGATGATGATGAGGTATTTTTAATTTGTTTTAGTATAATATGCATGTTGTACATATCGATAAGTATGACTTATTTTTTCGTTTTGATTATGCCTAAGGACGATATTTATCTGAGGAAAAAGTCAAAGAGAACAAAACCGTTTCAGATTAATCTTTGTTGTAAGAGTTCTACCATGGAGACCATTTGGACAAGATTAGAAGAAAAAAATTGTGAAACATTTAGAAACAATTGCTTCGGCCAATTCTTAGACTTTTCGATGGGAAAAACATCATCACAGCTTCTCCTACATCTAATATAACGACAGTGCAAACCAAAAAAAGCTTCTGAATTGAATTTTAGTATTGGTGGAAAGGTGGTAACATTTGGGATTAAGGATTTCGCAATAGTTACTGGCCTAAAAGAAAGAAAAAATGTAAAAATATTAAATATACATGAGAGTAATAGAAAACCATGACTAAAAATAATTAAAATATAAATAACTAAATTTAAAATATAATAACAAGCTACCTATTGCAAGCAATATACCTAACTACCTATTGTTTTATAAAAATAAAAACTAAATGGTGCAAAATATAAAATATTCAAGTGGCAGGTGGCTTTTTGCAACGTCTGCGATTATGACCTAGTTTATGACATCTGTCGCATCTTACTGCGGAAATAGCTTCAGCACAACTAATAAGTGTTTTTTTTCGTGGTTTACCAGCCGATTGTTTAACATTAGGAGGGAGGATTTCTGTATTGTCTGGTTGAACTGAT